CCCCATTGAACTCATGGTCAGATTCACCAATCATAGGTTTAGGCCACGAAGGCCAAAAGATCACTATTTCTCATATCCACCCTCAAAATCTCTTAAACATTAAATCGACCTTAAATACATCGAAAGTCACACATGGAAAATCATGAAAAGCTATACTCCCCATACCTTAGTCGTCGATCAAAGCCTTCTCAATCCTTCAGGGAATCTCTCGGAACTTCTGCCTCCAATCCTCTCCTCAGAGCTCTGGCCTTAATACTTTTCACGGTTCACAAAATGAATCCTAATTCCCTTCAGAATTCCCTTTTTGTCAAACCTAGTCTTGGGCCAAACAATTGGGCTTTTCCTATAATACCCTCACTAACTCCCCTTAAATGTCCAATTTGCCCTTATTCATCTTATATTTATTTTAATTAATAATAATATTAATAAATTCATATTATATACTATCAATTAAATAAATAACCTAAAAATGCACTAATTCTCAATATTCCACAAAACACCAAAAATCACCGAAAAATGAATATTCTCAATTAAATAAATAAATTAAAATATTCCGATTAATTTGGGGTGTTACAGGCTACACGACAAGTAACCCACCTGGACACTTCCTGAGAGAAGATATACAAGGAGTGCATCAACACATAATTTTGGAAAGTCTGGATCAGAAACCCCTTTCCTATCAGAGAATCTTTCAGAACTAGCAAGATGGAATGTTGTCGCTTTCACAAGGGTCATGACTACACCACAAATGATTGTATCCAACGTAAGGATGCCATCAAGGGTTCAATAAAGAGAAGATGCTTATCTAAGTATACTAAAGGCGGAAAGAGAGATATAGAAGAGTTGCAGAAGAAGAAGTCCTCGTTCAAGAATGTTAAGGTCGTGAATTATGGCGAGGGGCTAGTGGCGAAGATAAAGAAGCAAGTAAGGGGAAACTTCAACACATTGCGGCCATTACCAGGGTAACACCTCGGGAAAATGCTCCGCCAAAGGGGATGATGAAGAGGAATATTGTAAAATTGGTTGTTGCCATAAGAAAGACAAAAACCCCTCAACTAAGACCCTGTATAGACCAATGCTCAAATTCTAGGATAACGAGAAAGTCTAGGGAAACCCAAATAATATCTTTCCTCCGGTTATAAGTTCCATATTAGGTCACTTCGACATGTCAAAAATACTCATCAATGGCAGAAACTCCTATGACATAATGTATTAAGAGTTTTTGAAAAATGTGGGCCCCAAGAAAGAAAACATGTGGCCATATAAGGGTTCATACTTGCAAGCGTTCAATGAAACTAATGATCACCCATTGGGATACATTGAATTAATGATATTTGAAGGAGAAGGAAGGGACGCCGGGATCGTGGACTCGCAATTTCTAGTAGCCCCTTGCAAAAGAGCGTCTACAACTTCATTCTTGGCAGAACTTTCACGGAAGCCCTTGATGTTATGGCTTCACCGGTCCACCTCATGCTCAAATTTAACAACCTTTACAGTGAACCAATCATGATTAATGATAACTTCGAAGGAACCAAACATATCTATCAAACGCTACAACAAGACCAATGGAAGTGTAAGCCATGAAGATCAGTGTAGATTTCTTTAATGGCTAGATGAGGAGCATGAACATCTAGCCTCCTGCTGGAAGAACCAACCATACCGACCCAATAGCCAAAAGTGGTGAACCCGACAAATTATAAACCAGGGATAATAATCAGTGGTAGACCCACCTGACTATGTTTACACTTTTATCTTTAATGATATTTCTTGTGTAAATAATTACATGACAAAGTGAATTGTGATCTTTCCATTATTAATGAACAAAGTAAAAATTCTAAGACATTTCGTTTCTTTGTGATCATGTAAGGTAGCGACGAGTTTGGGGTATGACCAAAAGGATCGAAACCCTATCACAAAGACTCAGTGGTGTTATCATAAACTCCACAAGTGTATGACTAGAGCAATCTAAACCCCACAACGCAAAACACACACAAAGAAAGTGGAAAAACCACTAAAAATGGCTATAACCGGCTCACCCCCTCTTGGTAGCTAGCCAATCTAGAGGCCACAGTGGGTCTACATATGTCAACCTAGGACCAAGTTTCACCTAGGGGAAGGGGAAGGGGTACTAACGTTCCCGTCCCCAAAGAAGTCCAATAAACTTTAAGGAAAGACCTCGTAAGTTAGCACAAAGTCCGAAGTAGTTGACTCAGGATTAAATGCATATGCTTCAAACAGGTAAAATCAATATCACAATTTCAATCTCATTTACTCATACTTCCTAGTGCAAGGTATTATAAAAAAAGAGATAGTTAATTCCTAAGTGAGATGATCTTTCTATCCTTAAGCATCTGGATTAGTCGCACTTGCTCCCTCGAAATATGCATGGGAGAGTGAAAATGTTCTACTTGCTATGAAGCATTCTCAAAGGACTCCAAAACATCTATGAGACCATCAATAGGTGATTCATTTAATCTACAATCCCGAGAGACATTCTTAAGATGCAAGTTTTCAAGGTCTCCCTGAACGGCATAAAGAGATCCCTTAACATCAGATAAAGTAGCCTACGCAAAAGCCAGAGCTTTATCCTTCCTTACTCTGTCCCTCACCAAGAGCGTTACCAAATCGACTAACGAGCCAGGAAGATTGAAGACACTCAAGGCATAACCTACCCCGATAAGAGAAACAAAAGCCTTGTGCACATCATGGAGGTATGTATCTCGCCGAAACATCAAGTTGCATATACTCTCCTTGCGACACTAATTAGACAAGAAAACGTCCCAACGAATGGCCATATTGATGGCTATAACAACAAAAGCATGTAAGGTATAATATGTTAGACTCGACAACTCCTATTCGAGAGCCTCGTCAGCTAGGTTGGAAAGGTAAAAGCAATCCTCTTTCGAAGTAGACACCCAAAGTTCTTTCAGAGTATGGGGTCTTGACCTAACAAAAAAGATAAGAGTTGAAGGACCTTCATTCGTGGCACCCGCTGAGAATCACCAAGGATTTCGTCACCTCTAGCAAACTCTGAGGAGGTTTCCCCTCGAGAGTCTGGATGAAAATGCAAAGGCAAAGCCCTCGTCATCCCAATCAGAGGAAGAACATTGGCCGATATTGAAGTGTTTGAACGACCAATAATAGTTGAGTCAATTCTGAATAGCTGTCTTGATTGGCGGATTGCATATTCGTTCTTCATCAATCTGCAAGGAATGATTACCAAACGTTACAGACAACCAAATTGATTGCAGGGGGGCAAGAATGTCAAAAACTCACTAAAAATGACCTTCCTCATCTCCTTAGTACGAGCATCCATCAACAAAAGGGTTTCGTAAGTTGTTTCAAACGCTTTCTTGAAGCTTCATCCCAAAGGAGTAATGCCCCTGCATGACCCAACTTTTTGATAAAAGTAACCAACCGTTTCTTCAAATAAAGTTCCTGCTTGTGACAAATTATTTTCCTTATAGATGTAAAATCAATTCCCGGTCGTCAAGAAATGACTTTAGTCTAGTATTTATGAAACATGATATTACATGTTTCTTCCACCTTGGTCCCTATGGTACGTATTATTGCATGGGCATCTTTATGGAAATGAATAACCAAGAAGAACCGGTCTTCAGGATGATCCAATTTCTTTAAAAACGCATAAAATAATGAATGACATGCACCATATTAATTAAGCCCTAGCCTCATGTCTAGTTTACCAAACTATGTTGCACTCTGAAAAGGGTGCATCTATGGATGAGCGATCATCAAGTGGTTTGAAACCTCTATCTCAAAGTTATTGAAGGGTAAGTAGGAAACCAAAATTGAGAAGGTGCACTCATATAAAGGAATCATGCATTCACTATATTCACTGCAGTTGTCTTCATTAATGGCCAATATACACTCCAATCCGAAAAAGAAACTACATCTAGGAAGGCTCTATCAAGTTTACCCTCTCGAGTAAAGATATAAACAATTGATGATGTGATATAATCAACCCCAGAAGCGAAAACGTCTTCTTTTGATTTTAGACTCATGATAAACAATACTTTCTTCAGTTACAGAAAGATAATATGTTGTGAAAATATATGTAACAAAGAAGCAAGGGTGATGTCTCAAGAAACTACAAAGCTAACTCTTCAGAGATCGCATGGTGACTTACCAACGATCAACAAGCACTATCAACACTCCATATCATCTTAGGAAAACACTAATGTATTTCAGTTTACAAAGAACGTTATGACATAACCTACGAAAAGACGTCTATAGCATAGGCACATTAAAAGCACGAATTTTCAAGGACAGTAGTGTCACCTCTTGGTTTTCCATTCAAGTCGGGATGTGTCCCACACGAAAGGGTAAATACTACACAAACCATTGTAATGTCAAAAAAAGACAAGAGTTTGAGGGACAACTCTTCTAGGCTGGCTAGAGGGTCCAATGGCCAAGGCCCAAATAAAACAACAATTCATCCAAACGCTTGCATCATAGGGGTATTACTATTGGGAAGAGCATACGAGATCCATGTCCAAGATACATCTAATGGTTCCATGCACCCTACACTTAGAAAATAACGGGTGGTTACAACTGCTACTATAAAAACGAAAGCACGTCATTCTCCGAATACACAATTTCAAATTCAAAATCCATTCAATCATCTCATTTACATTCTGACTTGAGCGTCTAAGTGTTAACCTTGTAAGTCTGCTCCTTCTTAACCACATAAAAAATTCAAGTCTATAATTACATCTCACAACCTTCATTCTCTGATCAATTCTCGTTTCATATCGGAGCAATACTAAATTAAAAATAAATCAAAAAATTATAGTTAAATAAGAGAATAATGAAAGTAATCATGTACATTACATTAGTTATTTAAACCATTTATTCCTTTTCAATTTTCATATACAAAAATAAAATTATTAAATTAAACCCTATAATCTAAGCAATTCAGTTAGTTTCTGATTCTATTCGTTTCCCACATTCATCACTCTGTACACTGATTTTCCTTTTCCATGGCTTCTTGTTCAATTCGTCCCTCGCTTTCTTCATTCAACAAGTTACCTTCTTTTTCTTCACGCAACCTTTCTCAGAGACTCTCTCTTTTTCATCTTCGCAATGGTAACTCAAATAATCCCTTTTCCATTCACCTGTTAATCATAATGACTTTTATGTACAATTTTAAAATGGGGTTTTGTTTTTTACAATTTTTTGTTTGCATGATAAAATTATGTTACTTTGTAATTAGATTGCATTCGGTGTTATATTGATGATTTAATATAATGACATGTTTTTTTACTGTGATTTGCATTATTTCTTTTGCATGTTGAGGGTTTGTGTCTATGTAGCACTTACATTTCTAATTGAGGATGTTTGTTGTGTTTATCACATGTTGGTGTCCATGAAGCTCCTACAAGCTCTCTAGCACCAACACGGGAAAAAAAGTGTCAGTGTCGTCCGTGTTGGTGTCTAAAATTGACGTCCATGTCGGTGTCTAAAATTGACTTCACACTTGTAATTACGTTTAATTTATTCATTTTTTCAAATTATTATCGGTGTCGATGTGTCAGGGTCGGTATCGTATTTTTGGCGTCTGTGCTTCATAGCCAACAAGACTGATACAGGCGACACCAATATAATTTGAAAAAAATAGAATAGTTGAATGTAACTCACCTGTGTTGGTGTCTGACACTAACGAGTTTATACACCTTTAATGTGAATTCAATGTGAAGTGTTGTTGCTACATATGCCAAGCATTGACGTGATGACACGACACCGACAGACAAATACGTTCAATCATTTTTATTTTCTTAAATCAGTATCATTGTCTACTTGTCAATTCTGTGTCCATTGTTCGTGTATACGTCAATTCTTCATATTTATGTACTATAATTTAATGAACTTCTATTGTGCTTGGGTTGTAATTCAGGTGTTAGACAACCTCCCCGTAACTTTGGTCTTAAAGCATCTGGGTTGTTGAGACGTGACAGTAGATGTATGAGATTGATGTCATCTGGGAGTATGTCTCCATCGGCTACGCGGGAAAATGCATTAGATTGGGTGAAGCAGGACAAGAGAAGAATGCTTCATGTCGTATATCGTGTTGGGGACTTGGACAAGAGCATAAAGTATGTTATATCTATATGTGAGACGAACTAGTTGCAAAGAGTTTATTTATTTGTACGGTAATCATTCTCACGGTAAAATAAAAAAAACTTTGTGATTTCAGATTTTATACAGAGTGTCTAGGAATGAAGGTGCTCAGAAAACGTGACATGACGGAGGAGAGATATACTAATGCATTTCTTGGATATGGGCCTGAGGATGCACACTTTGCTATTGAACTATCATACAGTGAGAGTCTGACTAGCTTGTTGACATTCCTTGTGATTACAAAAAAAACAGTTTGAAGTTAGTTTCCTTAAAACTGTTTTTTTCTTAACATTTTTTCAGATTATGGGATTGAAACGTATGACATTGGAACTGGATTTGGCCATTTTGGTGTTGCTTTGGATGATGTGAGTTTCTCAAACTTTCATGCCCGCTACTTCTATCACTTTATAAATATAGACAACTTTCCCTTCTCAAATTGTGTTCTTTAGTACTGAGACATGTTTTTGTGTATGAGCTAGGTCCTATTTAGATAAACAACTTAATTAAGCGCTTATATAGCTAAGTGTGTATTCTATAAGCTCTTATGTATAAATCATTTCTATAACAAGATAAAGTAAAATCAAACCGTTTTTATATAAGTTACAAGTTGTTTTCTTAAGCTATTATGGAGAGCTTATGGAAATAGATGCCTTGTACTCGAATTTAGGCTCGAGGATTTTTCTCTACCCCTTCTTACCTTGAAAAAACAGGGAGTCGCCTTATGTTCTTGAACCGATAACAATGTAATTTCTTTGTCATTATAACCGTTTACTAGATTCCTAGAGTTGTGGACATTGTCAGAGCTAAGGGTGGCATAATAACTAGGGAGCCAGGTCCTATAAAGGGAGGCAATTCAACTATTGCAGTTATTGAAGATCCTGATGGGTATAAACTTGAACTATTGGAAAGGGCTCCCTCTCCCGAACCCTTGTGCAAAGTAATGCTTCGGGTGGGTGATCTTGATCGATCCATAAAATTTTATGAGAAGGTGAGGATCAACGCACTTTATGATGGCTTACAGTCTTCTTATTTCCTTCACAAAACATTACTTTTGTTTATGTGAATGCTTTTCGTGTAGGCTGTTGGTATGGAGCTGCTTCGTACACAAGATGATCCAGAATCCAAGGTACCTTGACATCTTTTTTGTTATATCTTGGTTCTTAATTCTTAATTTCAGCCTTGCTCGCTTTGTTGGCTGAAAATTGATTTGCATTTGATCACCATGAGTTTCTCTGCGAGTTTTAATGGCTTCCCTTCTCTTTTTGGTAGTGTACCATTGCAATAATGGGCTATGGTCCAGAGGAAAAAAGCACTGTTCTGGAATTGACTTACAATTATGGCGTCAGAAAATATGATAAAGGAGATGCATATGCTCAGGTAGACAGAAGTTCTCCTTTTATATTATTCCAGTATAATATAGCGGAATATGTGATAGACATGATTCGGTACAAAGTGGTGTTGAATTGCTGATAGCGCGGTACCGTAACAGAATGTAGAAAACTGCTACTATTTGCTTACGTGATTGACCTCATTTTATTATTTGAATATGCTGAAGTGGTTTTGTTCTGTTCTTTAGTTATGACTTATGATCAAGGTTGTCAAGATTGGGATCTTTCATAAGACCGTGAGGGGATAATAAGACCATAAAGCATAAAATCATAACTAAGATCGGAAGATCCTACCCAATTATTTTTGTAAGATCGGGTGGGGGTAGCAAGATCGTAAAATGTAAGATCATAACAAAAATCCTAAGATATTACTAAAACGAAAAACAATATTAGTACTATATATTTGAAGTTTTTTTCACATGATGTTTTGGTAGGGAAGTGTATTCATGGGAAAATGGCCTCCGCCGAACCGTAATTGTTGCGCGTTGGCATCTTGTCATCCTTCTCGGCTTGTAACGGTGGTGATTGGAAATCAGTCGATTGTGGCCTGAACTGACCAAGATCGCACATAATCAATAGTTTTACTATTTTTTTCTTCACAATTTGGCTACAACACACAATTCTACTTAAAATCTGAATTGCAAAATCCCAAGATTTTAAGATCTAGATTGTGATTTTGACAACCTTGGTTATGATATTAAGATTTGGTTTTCAGTATATAAGAGATGGCTTAGTTTTCTTAATATTTTGTTGAAATGCTTCTTAACTTGTGTTTTCTTATTAACACTTTTTTGACATTCAGTTAAGATAATTTCTTTTATTCATTCTCTTATCTGTTTCTTCCTTTTTATACAGATTGCAATAGGCACAGATGACGTGTACAAAACTGCAGAAGCGATTAAACTCGCCGGAGGAAAGATTACTCGTGAAGCTGGACCGGTACCTGGTTACAGAACAAAAATTACATCATGCGTGGATCCCGATGGTTGGAAAACGGTATGGCTCAATAGTCTAAATAACCGAACAGTTGTAAACCGCTTGAACTGTTACGGTCTCCGTCATATCATCTCACATTTTAGCACCTACTATATTATCTGGTTATGAAGCATTTGTGACTAACCTGTTTTCCACCTCTCTAATACGTACAGGTTTTTGTAGATAATCACGATTTTCACAAGGAGGTTGAGTAGTTCTATTCGGTTCCTCGCGATAACTTGGTGAAAAAGTAGTGTTTCTTTGTAGAAGCTGTTTACAGCAGGGAATGTTCATACTCAATCCAATTTTTTGTAGGTTATAGAACAATAATGGCTGGACAAATTGTGACCTTGTAGCAAATTTATTGAACTTTATACAATTGCATTAACACTAATTTTCGCAGTAGTAAGAAGTTCTGTTCCTATTGCATGTTTATGAGCTGTGTATTATTTTTGCACAAGATTTGACTTCTAAATTGAATAAGAAAAAAGTAAAGTATTTTCTTTGTTAATAACAAAATCCATGAGTCATAATTCATGAATGTCTTAACATATCAATGAGATGTGTTTTCTGTTTTTAATCATATTGATAAAATAGATATTAGAGAAGACATTTTGAAAAAAAAAAAAAAAATCTAGTTTAAAGTCAAAGCAAGTTCATTATAGAGTTGGTCCATTTACACTCCTTTAAATTCAAAAATTCTAGTAGGGTTTACACTACTCATTAGGAGATTTAGTGGTTCTTGTGAATGACAAGAATCAATTATATTGAGTTAAATCTAATCCAAAATGATGTTTTAGGGTACCTTAGTTGGTGTATGTAAACATGATTTAGAGGGAAGACAGAAAAGAAAAGGACATATTAGATTCCCATTCATGGCTATGCTTTAAAAGCAATTATTAATATTCCTTTCTGTTTTCTATAATTAATATGCCCATCTCGTCCTTACTTACTGGCTTTATTATGTCAATTGTGGTTTCAATTCAACTACTACTATGTTTTATATCACATTCTTTTCTCAATTTATAATTGTGGCTTTGTAAAGAAATAAGAAAATCAGTTACCTAACATTAACCTTTGTCTTTGAGCATATGCATTAGTTGTAGAATCTAAGGTTCATCATCAATCATGTATGTACTAAATTGTGCATGCATGTGAATGTGTGTGCATTGCACTCTTACCTTAATTTGGCATGTGTGTCAGTGTGTGAAGAAGGGAAAGAGAGTGGGGCAGCTAATGGGACCTCATTAATGGTCATATGGTACATTGAATAACAAAAACAAACTTTTATATTAAAGGTAAATGTTAATTTTAAAAATTTAAAATTTGTTAGAATACATTATTAGAACGATATTTCAATAATGTATTTTTTTTTTTTTGACAGTTTATGAATGTAATTACAAAACATAGAATCAAATTAGTCCGAGATAAACTTTTGTTAAATAATACCTCATAAAAAATTTGTCACACTTATATCATAGCTAAATATTATCTATATTTACTTTTTCACGATTGAATTGTGATTAATATGTGAGTTTAAAAAAACTTAAGACATTTTTATATTTGGATAGATTTAAGTAATAAAGAATGACGATTTAAAAAACTTTGAAATAGATATTGTATTCGTATATTTGTAAACTCAAATAAGGTAATGTAGAAGACTTACTAAGAGGAGGCAATACAACATGCCGCCCTAACCAGTCCCCTAGCTCGTCTGTTTATTCGGGTGGGCGCCCATTGATAGGTATGTCGCCCAATCTCTGGATAATTTGTCTGATTTGCAGAAACGTAGGAAGTGACATGTCACGGTCCACAACAATGTAAAAAAAGAGTTAAAATGGGAAGTATTTGTTCTCTTGATAATAGGGAATTAACTGCCCTCCATTCCCACACTCCAGAGGTGGTTGCTATTTCCTACGAGCCTGAGATTCATGTCCATTGACTTCTATGAATACCTCAATCTTAAGGCTGAGAGGAGATCCAATTCATGACACAAATATAACAAATATCAAGCTTCTCACTTCCATGCATGAGCTAGCTCTAACCTTATAGCAAACCTTGAAAAACTCTTACAGCCTTTAATCACAAAGGGTTGTCACGTATTGTACTTTTGTCAAGTATAATCGGCATCCACTGCAGGTGTAACATCCTAATTTTTCCATACACTAAATAATATATCTAGTTAGATTTGAGATTTTAACAATGCTAGTTATTAAAAATTAAATGTTGAAACTAACACTTATAATAATTAATTTATTAATTAATTACTTTTTATATTTATTACTTTTATTCTTCAATTTGAATATCATCGTTTCATTTTATAAACTAAACTTTGAAATTTAAATTGGTACTTAAAACCCTTAACTTTAAGTTAATTAATTATTCATATTATTATTATCATTATTGTTGTTCTTGTTTTGTTATTATTAATTGATTTTATTTTATTTGAATATTATCATTTTACTCTATAAACCAATTAATAAATAAAATAATCTTAAGACAATAAAAATATCAAATAACTATCCTTTTTACTATTTTTATTATTATTAATATTATTAACATTTTACTTTTTATAAAAGAAATATATATCTCATTTTCTATTAATATCCTACATAATATTATGTCATGAAATCAAGCTCCCATACCTTTGTCATAAATTATTTTCACAAAGTCATACTAGAACACCTAAAGCACTATTGATGAAAGATTAGTAAATATTTGATAGAGACATATTTACTAGCAAGAGTTGAAAAGTTGGAAGGTATGGGCAAAAGATGATAAATTATGTTATTTTAATATTTTACAACTAGTATAAATAGGGGTCTCTTCCACCCCATTTTCATTCATTCATTCACAAATCATCTTTCTTACTTCTTTACTTCTTTCCTTCTCTAATTTCTTCATATAGCAATATTAGTTTTAGTTATCGAAGTTCCCACGATATCGGTTCGTAACCTTTAGAGTATTTTGTGGTAAAAGTTCTTCTAAAGTTTCAAGGGAGTTTTATACGTCAAAGTTCTGCCCAAATCATTTTCATAAGTAATCGGTAAGCCGTTATAATGTCCATTTTATTTTAATTATATTATTTTAATTATGTTATTTATATAAAGGTTATTTTAAATTTTCTATGCAAATTCCGTTCAGACGTCGATATATTGAACTTATAAAGTCCAAAATAAATTTTACCATTTTAAGTCGTTATAATGCCCAAATTTTATTATAATTTAAATGTTATTAGAAATATACTCTTGACAATTTTCTAAAACAAACAAATTCAAAAGGAGGTATAATATAATTTATATTTGAATTTAATAATTATTTTGGAGGTTATTATGATATATTTAAATAAATAAATATTTCAAGTTATAACGGGATTATGTTCAATTAACCATAAATTATATTCTAATTATTTCATAAATTTCGTACAATCCAACGGTTATCGTAAATTAGGTTCTTGGCAAAGATCGAAGACAACACTTGTGGACTTTCAACAACACTCAACAAAAGGTGGGGGCAAGATTTCGTATACGATTGGGACGGTTAGCGTAAAATAACTTAATATATATGTGTGTAGTGGTGACCTAAGCCCTACTAGCGATAAATAATTAAGGAGAGCCTATTCTCAAATAATGATTTTCACAAATCACTAGGCGAGGTTACGCCGGCCTTAATTAATTATCATAGGAATAATCTTTGACAATTTGGTATTGTATTGTGCTTGCATTATTCGGTTAATTTTATAATTGTTTATTTTATTTATACTTGAATGATTGTGATTGATAGATTAAGGAAATAATCGGTTAATGAGAGAAAAACATTGCTAGATATTAAGTAATTGATCCCCATTAACATAAGGAAAGTTGGATACAATGAGTAGTTATATTTGGTTGGGTTCTGGCTAAGGAAAGACTTGGTCGACTATGCCGTTTACAGTCCACCTCTCTTACCTGGGAAGTTAACCATACAATTACCCATTATACAAACTGAACTTATTATGTAAGGACAAAGATCAAATATGGCAAGACATTGGATGGATTTGGTACTCAACCTAAGTATCTAGATAATAAGTATAACTTGAAAAGTTGATACGATAATTCCCCATTATTAACTTAATACTTATGGCTAAGAGTTGCCACAAGATGAGTGAGTGATCATATAGACTTGCATTAAGGAATGTGTAAGTCCACCGCCGTGCGGTATGGGACGCACGAGGTTGATCAGTCGCCTGCAATCCCGACGGGGATTATTATCTATGCATGCTAGGCAAGACAAGGTTCTTGGCCTGAATTCTCAGGGACGATCGACTTATAACACCTAGGCTCCATGTGAAGTTAGGTGGCGTAGCTCTTGGTAATTGGGAGTACGTTGGTGGCATGTGGTCTAGTGATATCTGATCTTGGTAAATGGGATAGATATCATTGACAGCGTTTAGTGGCCTGAGTCAGCATATAGTTCAGGGATGCATTAGAATAAATAAAGTATATGTAATTGTGGGTATAAGATACGCTTGTTTGTATAAATATGGTTTCCATATATATTATTATTTTACACATTCATTCCCACTTTTAAACTTGTACATGAATCTTAGCCCTGTGTCATTTTTGTTTTGCATTTTGGATTATTTTATGACGATCAGACGATGAGCTCGAATCTTGCGTACTTCCCGACAACTCAGAAGGAAAGGATATGAAGTGACGTGGAGATGTGTTACTATAACATCTAGATTGGGAGCTGTTAGTGTTTTGTCAAACGCTAATCACATCCCTACTACTACAGTCAGTATAAGTGTCAGTCTTGTTGGACTTAGGAGGTCCCTTTTGGTATGCTTTCTTTTTGGTTTCCTTTCTGTACTTTTATTTTATGTTTTATCTATGTGGCAAGGCCGCTAGTCTTAACGGTGTCAAACTCTGTAAAATATATTTGAAGCATATGTATGTGAAACAGTATGTTTTTAAATAATTAAGTATTGTCCTTTAAAAATTTCAAATTTTTCTGTATTTTTATAAGGTTTCATTAGAATTCCACTAATGGGACATAGGCTGTCTCATTTAATGGTATCAGAGCTGGTCGATTCAGCTCGGACCGTAAGTGTCTAGAATTATACTGACTGTATCAAGTTGGATTCCAAACTGGATGATAACTTTTCTTCTGTGCATTGAGTCTTCATCTTGAGAGCCTTCTAGTATAATGGTCTAGGAAACTTATTTAGCACACT